CTGAAAAATTGGAAAAACAAACGAAAAAACTTGCAAGAGAGCAAATGCGTGTGCTTAAATGCACCTTCTGTCACACTCTTTTTATTTAATAATGTGATTTTGTTAACACAGGAACTACCAGAATTCTCACCTCATTGAACCTACAGTAATTCTGACCATTCTCATAAGTCATATAGTTACATCATATTTATATTCAAAGCTTCTGAGAAGCTCTATATGTTTGTCATCATATTTTATGGAGGCATTACCCTAAAAGTGTGATCTTTTTGTTAATACAGCCTATAAATATGTATGTGTCCTGACATTTTATCCTACTCATCAGATTATGCTACCAACACTGTATTTGAATGATTGTAAGGAAGGGGTTAGGGATTAGATAGGTTGATATTACAGCTTCATATCACACTAATCCACGTTCAAATTTACACTGGCATTATCTGATAGGTAGCATATTGCATCATCAAAATGTGCTACCTATATTTTGAATGCAAGGTGGGACAATCTAACAAGATAGGACAACAAATCGACAGAACACCGCCACCTTGCTTTCACTTTACAATCCGGAGAGCAAGTTTTTTTTCTTGATATGTTGTTTTGAAAGACATATCTGAAGTTATGCATTTTTTTTTTACATAAAGTTATGTTTATTAGTAGGAAGTTTTTGGGCAAAAGGCAGCATTCTTATGCACTGCAAAGGTATAACACACTAAAACGCATATGGTAATTCTGGCCACATTGTTCAAGGTAGAAATAATCAAAATTCTTTTGTGATTTATAAATTTAATCAAATAACAATGTTACAAATAAATATATATTTAGGAAAAATTAGGGTATTGAAATGTGGGTTTTATTTTAACTTATTAAATTACAGAATAAAAAATGGTCAAAATGACGTCTTGAGTATATTGTAATGTATGAATTATTAAAATGTAACTAGTATCGTGTATGGGATGTAATGGATTGTTTGTATTTTTATTGATCAATGAATCAAACCGAACAATCTGTTAATTGTGTTAATGTTCGGTTGACACTAGTTTTTCTTCAAATTACAGAAATTAACCTTAATTTTGGGGGGACCCCCAGGATGCGGAGTCCCACTGTAGAGCGTGCCCGTCGGCTAGGCCACTGTCTGTAGCCCAAGAATTTGCCAATTGAAGCTAAGCAAAGATGAGCCTGGTCAGCACATAGATGGGAGACCAACTTCGAAAAACGGTTGCTGTTGGAAGTGGTATTCCTGATGCTTATGTAGTTCCTAATGTCCCAGTATAGTGACAGACATGAGTGCTTTTGGATGAGATGTTAAACCAAGCTCCCATGGTACACAAAGTGTGGTGGTGTACCTCTGGTGTATTGGACAATTTTCCACCATCAGTTCACATCTGCTCAGTTGGCTCTATCACTGTCTCTCCTCTGGAACTAAAGTTGGTGTGTGGTAAGTGCACTGATCTAATGTCTAAATCCGAATAACATCTAGCAGCTAAATGTATCTGGAAAAATATTCAACGGCTTTTATTTTCATAAACAGCACGAACTTTAATGCGTCTAGTGTTCTGATTGGCTAAAGTAGACACCTCACGTCAGCACGTTCTAGATGTGAACTCGCTCTTTTCGGCAATTTTCCTTCTGCGTTTACACAGCGCAGCATTCACATTTAAGCATCCAATGAGAAAAGGAGCTGTAATGTCGTCCATATTTTTTTTTTTTACAATCATTGATCACAATATAACCCACCACAGCCTGTATTCAGTGTAAAAATACTGGGTTCCACACAATTTCAACATGTTATACCAACTCATTGTGGACTTCAGGAAGGGACGAACAGGCTCACATGATCCTATCCACATCAATGGGACGGCCGTTGCACTCGTCTCATCCTTCAAGTTCCTGGGGACCCACATCTCAAAGGACCTTTTCTGGACCACCAACACCTCCAGCCTGGTAAAGAAGGCTCACCAGCGCCTATTCTTCTTAAGGCAACTTAAAAAGAACCAGCTTTCATCAGCAGTCTTGGTGAACTTCTACCACTGCACAATAGAAAGCATCCTGACAAACTGCGTCACAGTCTGGTATGGAAGCTGCTCTGTTGCTGAGCGTAAGGCACTGCAGCGGGTGGTGAAAACTGCCCAACGCATCACAGGGACCACACTGCCAGCCATAGAGGACATCCAGAAGAAACACTGTCTGCGCCGAGCACGCAGTATTCTGAAGGACACCTCTCACCCCGCTCACATACTGTTTTCTCTCCTGCCCTCCGGCAGGCGCTTCAGGCTACCCCGGACAAAAACAAGCAGACTGAGGAACAGCTTTTTCCCCAGAGCTGTCTCCCTCTTGAACTCTGCCCCTCACTGACTCTTTTGGCCCCCCAATACTCCCTCCACTCTCCTCTAACTTAAACTCCTCACAATCACTGCACTGTTTAACATTTGCACATTGAAACTTTTGCACATATTCACTGCACTACATTACACTGATTTACTTATTGAACTGTACATACCCACTGCACATGGACATTTGTAATTTTGTACACACCCACTGTACATACATTTGTAATTATGTTTATTTATCTGCACACTTATTATTATTAATAGCAACCTGTACAGATATTCATATTCATCTATTTTAAATCTGTTCATAGCTATTACAACCTGTATATAATGTTCATAGTACATCCATCTGTAAATATCACCATAGTTTTTCTATAACTGCACTTTATAACATACCTGTATCCTGCACTTACTGCTATTGCACTACTTGTTAGACCTATTTCGTTGCATTGTACTTGTACATGTGTAATGACAATAAAGTTGAATCTAATCTAATAAATTGATTAAATTGACTTAATTGCTATTACAAATTTAAGTGGATTGAAAATAAAAGAATTAAGTTGTCCAAATAATTCAATAATTGTGTTGACATCTCATTTTAAATGGGGTTTCAACAAGCAGCAAATGATATATTCATTTTGAGTGCACTCACCACACACCAACTGAGATCATTTTACCCAGCCCTGACAGTACCACAAACTGATAAACGCAGCTGAGCAGCTATGTTTTTTACAGCATGTAAAAGACCAGAAACGTTAATCCTACAAATCATGCAGACGTGAACTTTTGATAGTGTTTCACGGGAGGCAGACGCAGAGACAGAAGTGTTTTATCGCGTGTTTTCAGTCACAATGGCACTGACAGCCCGGGTCCCTCGGGGAACTTGTCATAGGCAATCTCACACTGGCTTTGACATGTCGTGACACCGCTTGACCAGATTAAAAAGATTATACGCCGTCTCTCTGCTTTTCCTCTGAAGGTCAGGTCTGTTTAGTGTTACAGCCCTGGGTGAGCAAACATGGCAACCGGCCTTAAATCAACAGACCTGCGCCTGGCAAACTGTCACGACTCACAACAGACTGGACTGAATGTCACCGCTGTTCACAGACGGAGAAGCATTGTGTGTGAAGTTGGTCATGACAGGGGGAAAAAAAGAAGAACTAAGCGGACTTGATGTGGCGCAGAAGCGATCGCAGATTTCCAACACCTGCTCTCGAGCAAAGACTCATTTACTGGGAAAAGACCATAACAATGCTTTATACATTTTTGTTTTTTTTGGAAATTTGCAATGAGTTACCTTGGTATATCTTGAAAAGCATGAATATTATAAAACTGATTGGTAACCATTTAATAAGGTTGTTTTTATCATCCCTTCACTGACTCCCAGTCCAATTTAGGATTCAGTACAAGTTATTGTAATTTGCTTTTAAAGGTTTGAATGGTCTTGAATGGCACCTACTGGTGAGATTCTTCATTGACATACTTAATCTAGGTCTCTTTGGTTGGCACAACAGATCCATCTAGTTGTTCCCAAGTCTTGATAAAACATCAAAAGCAGACTGTCTGTGGAATGGTTTGCCTTTTAAATATCATTAAAAAATCATCGTCTGTCTCTTGCACTTGTTTGTAATTAATTTTATTTTGTTTACATATACAAAGATTTTGTGTGTTGATAGAATTTGTAAAGCACTTTGGTCAACATATGTTGTTTTTAAACCCATTATATAAATAAAGCAAACAAACAAGGTTCCATTAGTAAATGCTAGTTAATGCCTTTACTAACATGAACAAACAATAAACAATACATTACAGTATTTATCCATCTTTGTTTAGGCAAGTTAATGAAGTTGTTTAAAGTTACTTTAAACATTAACTTGATAGTATGTTTTGTCCCTCTACTATGAACGGCTACCAGTTTTCAACATTCTTCAAAATATCTTCAAAAGAAAACAACAACTCGTTGTGAGTTAATTTTAATCTTATGGTAACAATAACCCCCACAACCGAAAAGTATTAGCCTGTATAAAACAGTATACCATGGTGTATAATGTGTAAAACCTGCTCTATTGAAGAGGTCACAAAATGCTTTAAGTTCAGTATTTGTTTTCTTTCTTTTTGGCAATGACAATTCCTTGAAATGAATACATGAACATATCAAACAGTCAGTAAAATGCATTTATTGAATGCATTCAAATGCAATATATATATATATATATATATATATATATATATATATATATATATATATATATATATATATATATATATATATGAGCTGAAACAACAAAATTCTTGGGGTTTTTTGGGGTATAAAATTTTTTAGGGGTTATTCTAACTGTTTTATGCTCATCCATTTGAATTTGTAAAAAACTAATGAGTTATCTTAATTCTTTCTTGTTGTCCGAACACAAATCGATTGTGTAGAACCCAGCATTTTTCTACAACCCACTACAATACCATGGTGTAATAAAGATTTCTGGCAAAAATTAAAAACATAATCTGTAAAGAGAATATTAATACTAATAATTTAAAAATAGCTTTTTGTCACCTTTTTATTTGTTGCATGCTTATAATAATTATAAATAATAATAATATCACATAACTCTTTAAAGTTTAATAATACATTAATATATATATCATTTCGTAATTTGCCCCAATTGAGTTGCTAACAGCGAATAAATTAGAATAATGCTTTTATTCACAATCTTATGTACAAAGCTTAAAACCAGGTGCATTTTACATGAATTAAATATGTATCCAGTCCAAAACAGACATGCTAGGTGTCGCGCTCATAGCCAGATTCGCTTTTCCTCTTCTTAATCATTTGAGGTTCTTCTTCTGACATTTGTGATGTCTGTGTAGCTGGAAAGCTCTGACCAGAAGCAAGTACCTGTCGAACAGTCACATTTACCCGAGACGTCTGCAAGTACCATGAGCAAATGTCCCAATCTTCTTGAGAAACACTTTGAATGACGTCCTCATCCTGCACCTCTGTCTCTAGTCTCTGGCACAGGCCGGGTGGCAGGACGTTTCCAGCAGGCGATGGGACGATGCAGGGTACTGCATGGTAATGTAGCCGACTGGGTCCTGACATCACCATTATGTCACCGCTGTGCATGAATAAAGCAGTGGGACGGTCTTCTCTTTTAGTCCCACCCAACAGGAAAACTGCAGTCTGACCAAAACTAGCATTAAAAGGACAAACGTGGTTATGAATGCATTTCTAATGCTGATGGATTAGACCCTGCATGCACTTTAACATGCGCTTGTATCTCCCATCAACAAAGGCTACATTTATGTTATGCCAGAATGATCAAAGAATGTATATAAATTCCAAATCGACCCCAACTTCTTCAGGGATATGTATTGCAACAGTAATTAAACTGTGCTAAAGATAATAATACAAACTTTTATTAAACTATCATTATGATTTAGTTTTGTTAACTGATGAAATTAGTATTTTTAATGAAAACACTTTAGTTTAGCTCACAATGTATGGTATTAGCAAATCATTAACTAACACTACCACCTTAACATACTACTAATTAGTTGTTTGTTAATAGTTAGTAAGATAGAAGTTGGGTTTGGGTTTACTTAATAACTACTAGTACTAATGAACAGTTAGTATGTTGATAATAGGCAGGCACTGTATAAAGCCAGTAGTTCTTAGCATGAATTGTGACCTAAACTAAAGTGTTACAACTTATATTCTCATTTATCAACTTATTTAATTGTATTTATATTAAAATAAGTTTCAGCCATATGAGCACAGTTGTTATGCATTTCAATTGTTTCAAAAATAAAATCCCTTCAGATAAAGTACAAGAAAGTTCAACTAAATGTATTTACTTTTATATGAGAAAAGTTTCCATGACTAAACACCATTTCCTATCATTTTGTATTGATGCACAAAAATATCAGCGAGAGTTTTATAACATTATTAAAAAAATAATTATATTAAAATTCAAACAATAAAAAGACATCATCAGCAATAAATAATACATAAGATAAAAATCTTTAGGTTAACATTTGATAAACATTCCAGCATTTTTTGAAGGATCCTTATGTCTGGTAACATAAAAAAAATAGTACATTCCAAAAGTATATGTTTAACAGTTTGGTTTCTGTTGAAATATTGATGTTACATGGAAACTTTTGCTTTGAGTAAATATACAGTTGAGTGAAGTGTTTGATACAGCATCTTGTGTAAGCAACTTCATCATGTCTTGAGTTTAAAAAGCTGTTCAGTTTTCTTCCTACTACTGGCTGGATTTCAAAAAGTTTCTTTTTTGAGAACTGATTCCATTCTGCTTGCCATTAGACTTTTATTAAAGGCTTTCAGTCTGAAGGTGGGATTTTGCATTTATTCATTCTTCCTGTTAGTGCCGTTTTGGCACCTTTGTCCACATAAGTATTAAAATATATACAGAATACTATAACATTTTGTGGATGATGCTCAGCCAGGTTACCAGTGATTTTATTTAATCAGAAAATGAAAATTTAATCAGAAATGCAGTAAAAACCATAAACTTGTCAAATATTATTCAAATAACCAATATTCATTTTTTTAGAATTGTAAAATAATAATTCATTCCTCTGTTGAAACTGCAACATCCAGTCCTTAGTGTCACATGAACTTTCAAAAAACAGTTTCTGATTTATTTCAACAACTCCTGACAGTTGCACTGCTTAATATCTTTGTGCAAATTCTATACTTTTTTTCAGGATTTTCGATGTACAGTATATAAAGCATTTATTGAAACAAATTTTTTTTTATATTATAAATCTATTTACTGTCACTTTTATAGAACTTTACACAATGATGCTGAATAAAAGAATAAATTTAGTATTAAAATTTCTCTAAAAAAGCTTCCCGTATAAAAAAAAAAATCCATGTCAATTAAAAGAAGACTGACTCCCACAATCATAAGTAAAAAGCATATCAGAAGTTCTACTCAATCAGTAAACGCAGCTAAAATTGTAATAATAATGATATTCCTCACCTGTAAGACAACAAAGGTCGTGTATGATCGAGCTCTGATTCATCAACATGGATTCCAAGCGATGAATCGGATCGGTAATAGTTGAGAATACCAGCTTCAGCGTCAAATTCTGAAAAGCCACAAGCTGCAGCTACTTTATGAGAAAGCGATTGAAGTTCCTTTGGGAAAGGAGTATAGTGTTCGGGGGAGTAAGTCTGAGAAATGAAAGCAAGCCAGAAGAATACGGCGTTACATGCCTTATTTTAGTAAAATGCAGTAAAAATGCCTATCACTGCAGGAGGTAAGCAGGTAGTCATTTAGCAGATTATTTTATTCAGAGATTTACTGGACAAGTAAGATAAATGCCTTGCTTAAGGGCACAATTGGCAGCCTAGATCATTAAACAGAATAGTACACCACACTAACCTAAATGTAAGCTTATTTTAACTATGGAATTAAAATAAATAAATAATAAATAAATAAATAGATAATTCAGATATTCTTAAAAAGTTAAAATAATAACTATTCAGATTTTTTAAGAGTGCATGATAATGACACAAATGTTCATTACAATTATTTATTATATTATTGAATATGGTCACATCTAAAACCCATATGGGCAAGAAGTCAGTCAGATAAGTCAGAGATGCAAATTCAAAACCCCAAGCAAAACATACTGAAAAGAACAAATACTTCAATATAAAATTATTACATTTCTTTTAAATTATTTATTTTCTGAACTTTAAATTTCAAATTGTAAAAAACTAAATTAATAGATAAATTTAACTTTTGATCTCAGAATTAAATTTTTATATTATAATGTATACAGTTGAAGTCAGTAGAATCGTAGCCCTCTAATAATTAACCAATTATTATTTGATTTTTTTTTTAAACAAACAATAAAAATTATTTTAACTGATAAAAGAGTTTTAGCTTTATATATATATATATATATATATATATATATATATATATATATATATATATATATATATATATATATCCTCATACACAAGGGTTTTTAGACTCTCGTGTTAGATTTTTTTTTTTTATATACATTTATGCTGTTAAACTGTCGTATAAACGCATTATCACACTCGTAGCAATGCGATATGGGTGCACTGTATATCAGCACTGGTGGTGCCTTAGTGTCCCACCATTGACAATATACAGCCATATCGCACTGCTACGAATGTGATATTGCGTTTATACAACAGTTTAACAGCATAAATGTATTTTTAAAAAAGAATATCTAATACGAGAGTCAAAAAACTCTTGTGTATGAGGAACTACTTTCTTCGGCAATTCAATCATATCTGCAGCTGATACCATAACAGGAGAAACCGTTGCTACCTTACCAACGTCACTTTAGAGCTAGTTTTTGAATGATTCTCCAGCGTAATGTCTAAAGTGATGACAAAACAGGTGATTTTGCTCACATTTAAAGATTATAAGGCTGAACGGCATATAATGCCATCAGTCTACAGAGATTTCTCCCAATATTTCTCTGTTGCAATCAGAAGATCACAGTAGTTATCCCTGAAAAAGCTAAATCAGCGCAAATTCTACCAGATTACTGTTGCATTTGCGATAAGAAAAAACGTTAAACACGTGGGCATTTCTTCTTTCTTACTGAACTAGTGTACAGAGAAAAAAACAGGAGATGAATTAGAAACAAACAGATGGGCAACCAAAAAGTATCTCAGGGTTATACAAAGAGTGGCCAACACAAAATGCCTAAATTTCTGATCCCCATCTCACACTCAAAACACATTTGATCAGCTGTAGTTTGAAATTACACTGTTTTTCCTACTCTAATGGCTTATTATGCAGTCTCTGTCGCCATCCTGTGGATGGACAACGTCAACCGTCTTTCGTCTGCTCAATGACAGGCTTATGGCCGCCAACGCAATGTCTCTCAGACTTTATACATATTTAAAATAGGCATTACCTTTATAAATAAACTTCATAATTGCAATCTAAACAACTACATTCTCGACTAAAGAAGCCTCAAAAGTACATTGTTGCCCAACAGCAGCAATATTTGTCAAACTGTAGAGTGTCCTCTGCTTGTTGCTGTATGTGGCCGAAGTAACACAAGGGTGAAATGGCTGGACGAGTACTGTTATTATTATTATAAGTTTATAGATCAAAGTTGCATTCTTTTTTCTGTCATGTTTTATATACACATTTATTTTGTGGTGAAAACAAGCTTCAATCCTGACTCCTTTGACCATGAAATGTAAAAACCAGAGACGTTTTGTCATTGTAGCTACAAATGCTTTGGCATAACTGATAAAAGAGCTTTTGCAGCATTCTTTCAGCTCTGTGGCTTTTGCAGTGGCTCATTGTCAGCGGTTCTGCATGAAAGTGTAATCAATGAACAATCATATGATCACAGCCTCTCCAAAGGGCTGAATTAGCGGCTTACGCTTCTGATCCGAGCGCACCGAATGCCTCAGCCTTCAGTTCTACTTAAAGGAGGAGGACAGAGTCTCTGCTTAAAATTCAACTGATTGCCGTCAGACGTTTGCCGTGTCAAGCTAACATCAGAGCTAATGAATCCGGTGTGCACCTCCTGACTGATTTAATAGGACAGAAGACTAAACACTTTTATGTAATTAGCATATAAACGAGACAGGCAGACATCAGGCCTGTACAATTAGAGATGAAATGTCCTGAAAGGAGCAAATAATGCTAATAAGATTGTGGACAATGTTTCCTTCCTCTTTTTCTTGCTCGTTCTATCTCTCCAGGAAAAACAATGGCACAATAAGCTTTGCAGCAATATGCTTATTTTTGCTGGAAAGGAAAAATTATTATATATTATATTATATTATATTTTGCTATATTATATTTTGCTATATTATATTATGCTATATTATATTATATTATATACAAAAGTTCTGTCTGGTTCTTGAATCTGATTGGCTTAAAGCTGTGCATTATTTTGCCAGTAACAGGACTCGTACCACCTCTTTACCCTTTACTCCACCCACATACAGCAACAAGCAGAGGACACTCTGTAGTTTGACAAATATTGCTGCTTTTGGACATCATAATTTACTTTCAAGGTTTTTTTTAGTTGAAAATGTAGTACCTATTTTTAAAAAATGTTTAATTTCTGAGAGATACTGCGCCAGCGGCCATTAGCCTGTCATTGAGCAGACCAAAGACGGTTGACGTTGTCCATCCACAAGATGACAACAGAGACAGCATAATAACCCCTTACAAGAGGAAAACCTAGCGTAATTTTAAACTACAGCTGATCAAATCATTATTAAACTAGTAATTGACTTTCTGGGTCAATCTCTCTCTTTTGTATGTTGTAATGCTGTATATATACACACATATATAAATTGGATTAATTATATTGTTACGTTTCACGTATGTTTTGTGGTATTTTTGTTGTTTTCTGCTTTGCGCCCTTCTCTCTTCTCTCTCTCTTGTTGTGGTCCTATCCTGTTTCAGGTGTGCTACCATTGGTCGAGTGAGCTGTCATTCACCTTCGTCCCTCAATCGGCGCGCCAATAAGGATCGGGTCCGCGCAGTATAAAACCGGTGTGCTTGCGCTGTTCTGGATCTCCTCACGTGTGTCGGCCGGACTGTTTTTGTTTGTTCCGCTTCATTCGTTTGCGAGTGCTGTGTTCTAGTTTTTTTCTCTGTTGATATTGATTTATCAGTTAAACTTGTGCTGCTCTTGTTAATGTATAGTGAGATTTTGAACGATCTTTATGAGAATTGGATTACCTGAGATCTTGTTTTGCTAATGGCTAACAGTGTGTACTTTAGGAGAATTCTAGCATTTCGAGCAGCTTAGTATAATTTTGTATTAGTTGCCACATGTGTAATTATGATGTTAGTTATGAAGTTTAGTTAAGCTACGTGCTGAAGATTACGGTTTTGTTTCTGCATTTTTCTTTGATCAGTCAGTTTAGTGGGTTGGGGTTTAGTTAGTTTGTTTTGTTATATTTATTACACTCCTATTTTTCTTTATTTAATTCAATTATTTAAAATTTACAATTATCTTCCATCTCATATTCATTGTTTGACATTATCCATTAATAAATACTTACTTTTTGTTTCACTTATCAAGCGTATGTGTCTTCTCCTCATTCACCCAGCATCAATAGACTCACTGATTGTTACGTATCATCCCTTTAATTATTTAACATCATAAACACGTAACAATATATATAATTAATCCAATTGTTGTACGGATTGTTAGATCTGTATTAAAATTTTATTTCGCACAAGACAACAGCTAAAGCATTTAAAACGCAACATTAATACCTTAGAGTTCCAGTCATAGTGGTAACCAAGAGTAACCCATCGCAGTTTTTCCAACAGTGTTTTTGGCTCTCTTTTCCTATTGCCTTTTCTCCTGCAATGACACACAGACCCATTTAGATAAGGAAAAGTCTGAGATGGATCAGAATCCAATAGCACAAACCATTCACACATTTCCTGATAAAGGACTCTAATAAACTGCATTTCCTCAAAGCCATCTAATTCACAGCAGAAAAACACAAGAATAAGCCTAGAAGCATCAGAAGGTAAAATAACCAATCACAGAAGTCTCAAGCTACAAAGCACAAAAACTGTTTAATTTTAGATAATAACACCAAAATAATATTCCACAAAATAACAATGCATGATACCATTGACTTACTGAATAGCATCTATGCTTCTTTCCCAGATGTTTTCAGTATCCACAGAAGACATATGCATATCTAGGTTACACACGTTGGGTTTCTGTGGATAGATCTTCAGACACTGTTTTACCCAGAACTGCTGAGAGCCCGGTAGGAATGGGTTGGATATAAATATAAAACCTGCATTTCAACAATTACAATACAATCAATGTCATTTCATCCAAATGAAACATTAATACATTGAAGATTTATATGACAACATGTAAAGAAGCAATATTCTGTGTTTTTTTGTGATTTATTTCATATATTTATGCCTTAATGCCACCAATATTAAAAATCCATCACTGGAGAAATAATGCAAGACAGCAGATGTTGAAATTTTCTGATTTTCAATAATACAGTATATAATAACGATAAACATTTCATTCATTCATTCATTTTTCTTCAGCTTAGTCTCTTGTTTCAGAGCTCACAACAGCGAAATGAACCACCAACTATTCCAGCATATGTTTTACGCAGCATTCACACAAATACACACGCAAACACAGGGAAAACATGCAAACTCCACACAGAAATGCTAACTGGCCCAGGCAGGACTTAAACCAGCGACCTTCTTGCTGTGAGGCGACAGCGCTACCCACTGAGCCACCATGCCGATAAACATTTATGATATTGTTATCATTGGCACTTCAAAACAGTGCAATCTATTCAAAATCATTTTAAGAATATTCAGATTGTCACATCACAGCACTGAATTCTTGTAGAGTAAACAGATCATTTTATTTAAAATAATAAACATTTTCATATGCTAATTTGTTCTCCGCAGTGTTGGGTAAAAATACATTTATAACATTACAATTTTAGGTCTATAAAAAAAGTTACCCAATTACTTTAACCAGTTAAACTCTGCTGTTATTTTGGGACTTTCGCCTGGATTTTGCCGACTCAAATTTAAAAGCTTCCCAAATCCACATGCAGAGGCATAAATGCAAAAATTTGGTATCAAAGAAAACCCTTTTAATTTTCATAAAACACTACTGAAAGTGTTTAAAATAACTGTATATGTTGTCTGTGTTATAATAAACACCTTAAAAAAAGAGGTGCTTTTAAAAATTTTTTTTTATAATTCTCAAATTTGAAAGTGTAAATCATAAATGTATTGTTTTCACTTCTGCGCTATGGAAACACCGTTACTCATTCGGCAACTGTTTGATATGTGAATATAATTCAGTAAAAAGAATGCTAGAACTGTATGAGCACCGGCAAGAGCTTTCAATTGAGCTATAACTTGTACATGTGTCATATGAAAAATATGAAAATGAACCAATGTAAAATACCCAGCTCGGGAATCCAAAATACTGTGTATGTAAGTGTAAATAACTTTTGTACAGTAAAATAAAAACCAAAGTGATGCATTTGTGCATAAAATATAGATTCTACACTTTCAAACGAAACCACTTAAGGGCCTCTGGTGCAATGCTAGCCCTTTAAATCTTAAAGCGAAAGTCGATGACGCCACGGCAGAGCTTAACTGGTTAAGGAAAGTAATGTGAAAGTATGTGTTACTGTATGTTATTTTAGCCTTTTTAAAGATATTTCATGTCCGGAATTAATTGAGCATAGTTTACAAGAGGGACTATAATACACGAGAAGCTCCCTCAAACATTCATTCATTCATATATTCATTTTGTTTTTGGCTAAGTCTCTTTTTTCATTAAGGGTCGCCACAGCGGAATGAACCACCAACTTATCCAGCACATGTTTTACACAGGGGATGCCCTTCCAGCTGCAACCAATCACTGGGAAACAACCAGACACACTCATTCACACACATACACTACGGACAATTTAGCGTACCCAATTCACCTAGTCTTTGGACTGTGGGGGAAACCGGAGCCCCCGGAGGAAACCCACGCAAACACAGGGAGAACATGCAAACTCCACACAGAAACGCCAACTAACCCAGCTGGGGCTCGAACCAGCAACCTTTTTGCTGTGAGGTGATTGTGCTATCCACTGCGCCACCGTGCTGCCCTGTTCTGATACTTTATAAGCCTATTGTTTGTTAACACTTTACAATAAGGCTTAATTAATTAACATTAGTCAAATAAACTAAACTGGTGACCAAAACACTTGCAAAGCATTTATTAATCGCAGCTGTCCATTTAATTAAACTATTTTATTGGATCATGGAGCTAACAACTAATAAAATTCTGTTCTGCATCGTATTTTGTTAAACCTTAGACTAACATAATAACTAGCAAAAACATCATTATCACTATTATATCAATAACTAAATGGAAATATTGCATCTCATACTGTAAAGTATAACTGTTGCACTTTTGCATTTCATTTTGTAATTAAATAGTTTGAAACACTTGTTGACTTTGAACATTTAACAATTTGAACATAGCTTGAAAATAGTGAACATAATATAAAGCAAATACGAAACACTCATAAGCCTTGATATAATCAGGTATTACAAAAAATATTAGATCTGTTATATCTGTTACATTTTTGAGAGTATACGGTATGTAATATATTCATCATACCTGGATACCCATGCAGACCAAAAGCTCTCCAGTCTTTAATCGGTTGAAGACCAACTTTAGAAACATCATCCTCACTTAGAGAAGTGGAGTTCAGTTCACAAGGAAAAACCTAGAAAACAGAAAATACTGATGACCAGCACAAAAGTGACACAAAGGCACAACAACATGACACAATTGTGCAGTAGTTAAGCAATATTATACTTCAAGGCAAAATTAATCAACAAAGTTCATAGGTAAAAATGTTAATGAACTTAATCATAAAAAAACGTGTTAACGATAACAATATAAACAGTTAACCTACTAACGTTAACATTTTTTCTCATTTTCATGTCATATCATATTCCTCACGCCTGAAAAAGATTTGTCAAGAATAAACATAGTTAAACATATGTAACATCGAATAAACATAGTCAAATTATGTAGCACATACATAATATACAATCATCTACTAACTGAATATTAATAATAACGTTAAGTGTACTAATATTAGCATGAACAGTTTAGTAAAAATGCTAATAAATACGCAAACATTCCTCACGTCTGAATGGCTCACCTTGTCATTACATGGTTTGGAAAAGTTAATAACTTCACTGAAGTCTGGAGGAGGGTTTCTCCTCCTATAAAACTTGAACAATTTTCTAAAAGCATCTTCTCCATGCTCCACTATGGAGGCTGCCATCTTTGCCGTCATTTGTGACCTTTCTTCTTCTGACGTCAACGACGCATCGCTTTGTTTTAATTTAGATGTATTTATTACACAATGCAACTAAAACAACAATTATGAACACAAGACGTATCGAAATGTGGCATTTTAGTTTATCATTTCTTACAGTTTAAAGAAATAAATCTGTTTTATTTTGATCACGTGGTTCGAGGTCACCGGAAGATCCACTGACAAGGACGAAACATGGCGGCGGCGGCAGCAGCAGCAAGCAAGAAGGTGTTCGAAGTATTTGTGACAAAAGTACCATGGACCGTCGCAACCAGTGAGTATAAAGTCATCCTATCAATTATTTTACATCAGATTTATTGCGCGTATATGAGTATGGACGCAGTCATTATCGAACTCCGAAGAACATTTGATAATGTAAAATTAAATAATCGTTTAATGTTTGTCATGTCATGTTTTCAGAGGAGGTTAAAGAATACTTTGGCCAGTTTGGACAGGTGAAGCGGTGTCTACTACCACTTGTAAGTAATTTGAAAGATCCAAAATGGTTCATGCTATTGTTGTTTTTAAGCTTTCTGTGCTGTTGATATCTATCTTAAGTTGTTTTTTTGTTGTTGATGTTTTTTCAGGATAAAGAGACAGGTTTTCATCGGGGGTTTTGCTGGATAGGGTTCACTACAGAAGAAGGATTACAGAATGCATTACAGAAGGATCCTCACATCATCGAAGGAGCAAAGGTAAGCATCAAGTTGTACCTTTATCAGTTTATTTATTTTTACAAAAATACAGATATTATAAAGAAAGCTGAAAATCTGTAACCACTGACTCCATAGTAGGAAAACCAACAAATACAATGGAAGTCAATGGTTGCAGGTTTTCAGCTTTCATCATAATATCTGTATTTGTGTTCAACATATCTTAATGTTAGCTGTATAAATTTAATTTAATGTGTTTTTGTTGTTTTCTATGTACTCTATAATGTATTTGACTAATTGAAATAATAATGGTATTTACAGTTTTTGTTCTGTTGTTTTGATTGCATTTATTGTTCATATTTGTAAAATGCTTTGGATGCAAGCATCTGTCAATTTGTTTGTAAATGTAAATATTAGATGTAAATATGAAACTAAAAACTGCAATACATAATTAGAAATACTGGGGTTTAACGGTGTTCAAACTAAAACAATGTATATTAAGACATGAATGATATACAGTACGTCATGTCATTATTATTATCAGCAATGAGGGGTTGGGACTGGTTTGTAGTTATTTCAAATAGACCTATATCCTGAACCTTATACAGTTTATCAAAATGATAATCCCTGGCATCTTTGTTTCATTTTTTGCTGTCTCGTGTATTCTTGATTTTCTTGTACATCTCCAGCTTGACCTTATTATGGCTGTTATCTCTCTTGCGTTATGTGTCTCTCTCGTTGTCACTGGAAGCGCAACCTCAAAATGGTGCATGTGTGACACCACACACAACACATGTACATGACTGACAAAGACTGATTAGACACACTGCTGTAAGCATCTGCATCAAACATGTAACTTTTCTTTTTTCTTGCAGCTCCAAGTGCAGAAAAACAGAAAGCCATTTTCTGGAAGAAGGTTAAACAAAGGAGAAGAAATATAAAGAGGGCTGGGTACAATTATCAAGTGGTGTTACTTCAGTAACTGTCTTCAGAACTATTATTTATTGTGGCCATCTCTATTCTGGACATACCTGTTTTCAAAAAGTGTCAGTGTGTGTCAGTCCTTGTGTTGACTTCCTGTCTAGTGTATTTTCTTATAAAACTTCCAAAGACATGGAAGTCATAAAATGAGATGTTTTGGAAGGCCATTTGTGACTGCTAGAGTATTATTTGAGTTTGAGTGTATTTATTTTATATAATATGCTTAATATTATACTTTAAATATTTTTAAATAAATAAATTAATAATATATTAATAAAACAATTGTAATTGTCAATAACTATTAGGTATTAACTAGAAAATGTACTCTTTAATTAAAGCTTTTGCAGTTTTCATCATGAGTTTAGTTTAATGTTAAACATTGAAGCCTATAACTGTATAATTTTAAGTCCAATAGCCCTATAAATAGTCACCTAATTTTTAATCAATGTTTTAGCATGTAGTTGCTAATGTTCATCTTTAAATGTTCATGTTTAAAAGCTAATCAATTAGTCTCCAAGCATTTGGCACTGTTACAAACACCATTGAAAATTCAATGTGATTGATTTGAAATAGCACTCTAAAAATGTAATTATATATTAAAATTATTGACAATATTTTGAAGTGCCCACGATATCAATTTTGTCAGGGTGTCCACAGGGTCTTAAAAAGTTTTTAAAAGTAGTAAGTTTCAAAAACAAAATTTTAGGACTTGAAGTCTTATATTCACTGAAGTATTGTGTTGTGGGTCTTAAATCATTGTAAACAGGTCTCAGTTTTCCTATATACAATTAAAGCTATCCAATCACTAATAATTCATTTCAAAACAGTTTTTAGTATTTAGGGTTTTTTTATTGCAAAGAAATGCAATTCACAACAACATTTTTACAGCAAATTCTTCTAATAAAATTCCCTAATCAGGGAAAGAAAACTAAAGGAACAAATCCTTTTACATGATCTTCCAATAATACTAAATGAAATAAGAAAAATCCTTAGCGTTTAGTTCTGTATAAGTCTTAAAATTTCATTCATAATAGTCTTATAAGGGTTTTAAAATTTAAATTTGACTTAAAGAAACCTGCCTGATTGTGCTTGTTTATAGTATTTTGAATTAAATATCTGCGTGTCTGTCTACTATGTCAAATGAAATGTACAACATTGATTTTATAGATAGAAAACATTAATTGCAAGTGTCTATTTAATTTTTTACAATGTTTTTTGATATGTTCCATAATAGCTTTATTTCAGTTTAAATACTCAGTACTTTTAAAATGAAAACAAAAAGAAAGCATTACTGTACATTGTTTACAGGAGGTGCCATATAATGAAACTCTGGGTGTACCAAGGTATAGTAGAATAAAAAAGATCACTATATGCAAATGAGCATACTGTGAGCCTCAGACACCACTGTTTCCTCGTTCTTATGTAAATTCCATGAGTGTAAAACCTTGCTAGACAACTGCCCACTCAGAAAAAAAAAAACTATGACGACACTCACGGGTCATGCCCCCCACATTTGCATATATGCCTAATTTAGGCCTTCATCCGGACCATAGACTGTAAAAGATAGATCCGGTCTTCTGACGATATGTGCTACCTCATCAGAATGTGATACCAGTAGCTCAATCTGCACTAGGGTTAGCACATCTAGTCAGCTTCAAATGTCTATAAGAATGAACTATCTCCTTAAAGAATGGTGTAAAAACATTGGTAGTGCATTTTGACAGCTTGAAATGTCAATTGGAATAAACTACCACTCTAATAAAAAATTAAATATAAAACTGATGAAATGAAAAAAAAAAATAAGGCAGTGGTTATCTCTGATAGACAGTTGAAGCTGCTACACCTTTTACTACATTGTTCAATAGAGTAATAGTTAATTTTAATAAATATTTGAACTCTCTCTTTTGTCAAGTTTAATTATACGTTAGCCTTAATTCATAACAGATCTGGTGAGCAAAATAAGTTGACGTTACTCTAAGTGGGTTTATATTTGTCAGTGTTCATTGTGTGTCATTAATATTTACGACAGGAGCCATATATGGTCAACCATAAACCTTCTGATTCTATGGGTATTTTATGGAGTAATAAATGAGTTTAAACCTACTATGTAGATATCATAGAACAATTCAACAACTTAAACCAATACAGTATATGGCATCTCTAAATGAATGTTAAGCTCTTGCTGATCATAGTTACACCTCAAGGATAATTGGGAATGTATTAAAAATAATGATTATTAACATCGTTTTAAATCATCAAATGTGTCTTATTCTAATTTGCTTGACAAGATTTTTCTGGATAAACAAACTACTGCTATGGTAACATCTTTCTGAACATCTGTTTTTCAGTAAATAATGATGAAAATGATTATTTGTGGCTCAGAAAAACATTTATTTTAGCACATCAGCAAACACTTTTATCGGAAGCGACTTACATGACGTAAACAATAGAAGCAATCAAATTAACACTTTTGTTTTGATGCTTTCTAGGAAATAACATAATTACAGATGCTTGAGCAAATTTGGCTTAAACCCAAATTACTTTTACATGTAACAGCTGAGTGATAACTTGAGTGTTTTTTGGGTTATGCAAATGCATGAAACATTTAATCAGTGTTGTTAATTTATTTAGAGGTTAATCAAGGCTCCATCAAGGAAGACTCCCCCAACGTTCCGGTCACATTATCTGTCCGAGCTCATGTCATGTTAAATCCTGTCACGCTCCATCACTATCTTGTCCTTTTCACCCGGATGAAAAGGAGTAAATAACGTCTTTACATTATATGTTTAAAAAACATCTGTTCTCTCAATATTTTATTCAACTTATACAGCTTTTTATTTTTGTGAATGCCTTTTTAATAACAGTAAATCATTTAATATGGAAAGTGAGTTTTGTAATTAAGTTTCATTCCTCATTTTCATTTAGTTAAATCAGAGCTTTTTGTGTTGGCTTCTGAGAATTTTCAGTGTTTATTCATTCATTCTTTTCGGATTAGTCCCTTTATTAATCAGTGGTTGCCACAGCGGAATGAACCGCCAACTTATCCAGCATATGTTTTACGCAGCGGATGCCCTTCCACCTGCAACCCATCACTGGGAAACAGCCACATACATCATTCACCCAAAGGAAACCCACGTGAAAGCGAGTAGAACATGCAAACTCCACACAGATTTTTTTTTGATTAACAAGAACCAGCATGTACAGTTATCTTATACAACAAAATCACTTTTCATTTCTCAACAAGAATAGAATAACAGAGAAAAAAAGAACAGAGGGTACATAATTATTAAATTACATACAAATATATTACACACATTTTTCGAATTTTAGTTATTAACAGGAGTTATTACATGCACTTTTACTACAGGAAATGCATGTATACGAGCAATTTTATGCAAAAATGTTAAAGGAGGAGCTTATGTTAACTGTTTTAATTGCTGTTCTCTTTTTTTTTTTACTTATAAATCAGTTTTATATACATTTGAATCTCTTTTTCTAGCACCAACACCAGCAAATTTGAACTAATGGATGTGAAATATACATAATAATAAAATAACGTTTATAATAAAACGAGTGATTCTTCACATAATAACCCAAAATCACATGCTTTTAAGATAAGGAAAATTATTTAAAAATATTATGAGCAATAAAGGCTTAAACATTAATCCCAAAAAAGTCTGGTATATTGGCGAGACCAAAATAAACGTGAAATAGTTTCATTAAAGCTTTCACAAAAACAGCACTCTAACTCTATCAATTTTACAATTTTAGAAATATTTTTGTTGGATAAACTCTATGAAGTAATTTAAATGATATTTATTTAGCCTTATTTGTAATTTAAAAAATGAGGTAATGACCATGTGTCCAGTTTACATTATTAAAGATGTAGTTCCAGTACCGTTACGGTTACTCCACACAGAAACGCCAACTGACCCAGTACAGGCTCCAACCAGCGACCTTCTTGCTGTGAGGCGATAGCGCTACCCACTTACTTTAATTAATATCCTAACAGCTAAACATTTATTTTAGCGTTAATACATTTTTTTGTGGTTTTTATGTTTATTTCTCCGTTGGTATTCACCAATGAGTGGTCGTAATCGTAAACTACAATGACCATGATGCATTGCGCGCAAAGCACGTTGCGGTGTCAACGGAGACGTCAGAGTTGAAAGGTTACAGAGCGACACCGGTTAGTGGATGACAGCGTGAGAGTCAATGAAGGTAAATCATTCAGCTGTTTTGCGATTCTGTAAAATACATTATATATTGCGTCATTAGCTTAGGCGTCATACAACAAACCGTGTGGGTTATTTAGTTATATTCTCTGTGTTACGCAATCGCTTGTGTAACAAAAACAACATCTGCGAACAGCTGACTGCAATGCACCGACTCATATTATAAATGAAACAGGTGTTATTGAGATCCGATACTTTTTGGTTAAACTGTTTTACTGTGGTGTTTAACTTATCGCATTGATTAACGTGTTAACACAACCGACATCTGATTTACACTTCAGTTGTGCAAACCAGTGCAATTAATGCCTTTCATAATCTGGATCTCACATCAAAGCCAAAGATGACACAACTTAAGTGCCACGCCCCCTAAAATGTTCCTAAATTATCACAAATAACTAGTTTGCTGTTAGCATGCACGTTGCTACCATATTAGCTGTTTGTTTGTACTCAGACTTTAATTTAAAATTAATTTCTCATTCTGCATTGCTGTATTCTACTCCATAGATAAACATTTACCTACAAACAACAGTTGTCTTACTATCTACCTAGCTGCTATCTTATCTACTATTGGTAAGCAGTAATTAGAAGTTTAGATCAATTCAGTTCAATTCATATTTTATTCCATAGTGCTTTTACAATGTTGATTGTATCAAAGCAGCTTAACATAAAAGTTGTAGTAAACTGAAACAGTGTCATCCAGTTTTCAGAGTTTAAGTTTAGTTTAGTTTAATTCAGTGTGGTTTAATTTTCACTGCTGAATGTCTAAACACTGAAGAGCAAATCCATCGGTGCGCAGCTTCACGAGTCCCAAACTATGCAAGCCAGTGGCGACAGAGGCGAGGAACAAACTTCACCAATTGACGGAAGTGAAGGAAAAAAACCTCAAAAGAAACCAGGCTCGGTTGGGCATGACCATTTCCCCTCTGGCCAAACTTGTTGTGCAGAACTGCAGTCTAGGTAATGACAGCTGGAGCACACTGGACGTCCATCATGGAGAAGCTGCAGGTGGGACAGGTTTCGTCTGTCACTGTGGTCTTACAGGGATCAGTCTCATGCTCTTCACTCCTCCAAGACCACTACAGCAGCTGCTCCGCTTACAGCTTGGTATCAGGAATAATAAAAACAGACTAACATGAGCGCAGATGCCGATCAAATTATAATGTCTTTTGGGAAGTGTTCCCAGTGGCCTTAAATAATACAGACTAACAATTCTTTAGAGGATTTGGATTTCTAAAGCATTTGGGTTTTTATGTTTATGCCAATGCAAAGAGATGTGCCTTTAATCTAGTTTTAAATTGACAGAGTTTGTCTGCTTCCCGAACTGTGCTAGGAAGGCTGTTCCAGAGTTTAGGTGCCAGATATGCGAAAGATCAGTCAGTCAGTCTTTATTCATTTCCCTTAGGCAATTTGGTTGCAGCATACAAGCATGTCACACATAATACACAAAAGCACATTACATAATACAAATTCTACCCTAAATTTAAAAACTATACAGTTTAGGGAATGAATGAAAGTTTAAACCAATTTGTTTTACTAATAGGTGTTCTGTATCAAATACCAGAAGGGAGAAGATAAAACTCGTGGTGCATAGGATGGGAATCATCTGACAGAATACTATGAGCTTTACTCTAAACTTGTCTATGGTATAAGTGAGCCATGGTCTTCTGTTTTCTCCCTGTTATTTTTCCTCCAAGGTTCACAATTTTCTCCAGACAACTCTTATTTTTCACACTTGGAGAATTGAACCAGCATAGCAAAGAAAAAGATAACAGTGACTGAATATATGAACTGTAAAACATGTACATGAGTGATTTGTCTATATTAAAAGATCTTAATTTCTGTAAACCGTATAGTCGTTGTTGCCCCTTCTTACAAAACTAACAGAAAAGGACAATTTATTATCTAAAACAGTTCCCAAATACCTATACTGATCAACACTCTCAACACCCACTCCATTAATACTAGTTTGCTTACCCTTAATCAGTCTCCTTTTACGATTAAAATCAATAGTCATCTCTTTAGTCTTAAGGATATTCACTTGTAAGAAAGCCTCCTGACACCAGCTGGAAAAATAATCAATTACAGGACCATGCGTGGAGTCTTTCTCACTTAACAAACTAACAATTACAGAATTATCCACAAATTTTAAAATCTACATATTACTAAAAATACTTCTACAACTATTTGTGTACAAAATAAACAATATAAGAGAAAGGACACAACCTTGATGTGACCTTGTAGATAAAACCGACCACCTAGGTGGAAGATCTACCACCTACAGTTGATTTTGATATTCTGGGGATAATAAAATGTCCGGAATTAATTGAGCGTATAGTGGACAAGAGAGACCATAATACACCAGGAGCTCCCTCAAACATTCATTCATTCAGTCATTTTCTTTTGAGCTTAGTCCCTTTATTTATCTGGGGTCGCCACAGCAGAATGAACTTATCTAGCATATGTTTTACAAAGCGGATGCCTTTCCAGCTGCAACCCATCTCTGGATACTCCCTTAAACAATTACAAGTTTAATAAGCTATAAACCTCGGCGAATATGCATGAATATGAATATGCATTTTATAATTTAAAATTGTGTTAATAATTTGTCTTTTATTTGTGGAATTATATTAGCATACATGTATTATTCGAAAACAAATGCACTTATTGGTGTCTTATTGTTTACTACTTGAGTATATAGAACACACACGTGTGAGAAATTATTAGAAATTAAAAAGTTAATAAACTTAGTTACTAAAGTTGATTTGAGGTGTTTGAGGGACGGCTGATATAAATGTTGATTTGTTGTTTTTATTTCTGCAGATCCTCACATGGCTGTTCGGCTGCTGAAGGTCTCATCTGTTGCCACTGCAGTGTTTGCATCATCAGGATTTTACCTGTACAGCAAAAATGTGGACTACAATGATCTCAGCATTGTCAGATTTGGCAGAGCAGCCGCGACTGTAAGTGTGATTATTCTTTCATATTTTTATTATTTTTTTCTCCACAAGTCACAGGAATCCAAAGAATGTGTCTGTGAAGCTTCAACTTAAAATACACCACTGGCCATTTATTATGCCATTCTGTTAATGCTTCTTTTTTAAATGGAAGAATAAATGTACAGTTTTTGTCTTTTTTTTTTTATTCAAATAAGCTTCCTACCTCCTTTTCCAGAAGAGGGTGGTGCCTTTACAACTTTTTAAATCAAAGTCAAAACTCATATAGGCGTATAATGTTGGTTATATGTGTGAATGTAAACAGTTGAGACAAAAAAATCATACCTGTATTAGTGCTTACTGAGATTAAGCATATAGTTGCTGTTCCCTAATTCGCATACTATCCATCCATGCTCATAACTAAGCAACATAACTATCTGCTAAGAAGAAGTAGCATGTCTCAAAGCTTGCACACTCTTCTGTTACACACTCAAAAGTAACTATTTTTAATAGTGAGTAAATGTTCATTTTGGGGTAAACTATCCCTTTAAGTCACATAAGTGAATTATTTCTACAAATAAGGCTAATGTACAGTTCTGTCCAGTGCACATGACAGAAGGAGATTTTTTATTCACACTTTTCATCTCTGTCTCTGAAATGAATGTTTTCAGACGGCTGTCATCAGTTATGACTACCTCACCACTCTCAGGGATGTACAGTATGGGACAGAGGAGTACTGGGCTGTCAAATCAAAGGTAAGACCTATTGTCTTGGTGGTGATGGGTTATATCCACGAGGAATATCTGCTGTGTGGCGATTTGCCTTGTTTTGATGATAAATCGAGCGTAGGCTGATAAGAATATTTCCAAACGTGTATGTGGAGATTTTCTTGATTGTCCTTCCATTTTGTGGAAGGAATGTGATGTTGCAGTCAAATAATTTTGCTTTGGATGATTGACTATTTTAGGTTGTGCTTTTCTCTTGAAAGTGTTCTATATATTGTTGAACTGAAGAATTAATAGATTCAAAGAAGTCTGAAGAATCATAACTTTTAGTGTTTCTGGAACCACTATGCTGCAAAGATATACAGTAGTCAATGTGTAAAGTGGATCAAAAACGTTTTCCAAAAGTGTCCCAAGACACGAATGGGTGTTTCATCAACAAAACTTTCATAAAAGATTTGGATCCACTTCAAATGTTGATGAAATCCACTGTAAAAAGCACTTAAGCACTTAAGGATTCGTTGACTTAAAGTTATTGAAATCCATTGGAACCTGGAACTGTTAAGTTGACTTAACCTATTTTTTATAAGTATGCACATAGTTAATTTACCTAATATTTATTTACTGATTTTGCTTTATTAGGTTCATCTTAGGTCAGACAGAAAACCACACTATAAATAAAATATAAATAATATTTATACATTGATAGATATATAAAACACACTGATACAAACCACCAAACAAGAGATTATCAGAAAAACATAATTATACACTAAATAAGTATATAAAAAATAAGTTCAAATATCACATATATGAACAAACATATACATATATAATATAACATAAAAACTATAATATAAATAAAAATAGAATTTTAGGAAATAAATGAATGTAGACTTTTGAGGAAATAAATGAATTTAATCAATTTTGAAATGAGGCTGTAACATAAAAAATGTGGAAAAATGAAGCGCTATGAATACTTTCCAGATGCACTGTAAAAAAATCAAATAACCATTGCCGATAAGATAAGTTGTACTTAACATTTTGAAGCCAACGGGTTTGCTCACATTTTTAAAGTAAAGACTTAAAGTAAAGAGTTAACTCTTTATTGTTTTTTTTTAGTTAACTAATTACTTTTTACAGTGTATTTCAAGAATATTTATTTAAAAATTCTGCTCATAGTGATTTTTAGTTTTTTAGATTTCAGTAAATCATTGCATGTACACTATTTCTGCTCCTTTCTTTGGGTGTTCACAAACATTATGTACAATACAAATGCAACATAATAAGCAAGTATATAATATTTTATAAAATGTCAACCACGCCAACACATTGCTCAAACTAAATGACAGCGTAAAAGTCAATAATCAACATGAAGTCTTGTTATTGGTGTAGTGGTCAAGTTTTTTAAAACGCATGAGATTAAAAACACCCTAAACAATCTGGCTCTGTGTTTGTAAGATCATAACTGCAAATGCCAGGCAATAATTCTTGTGCCATTTCCACCCCTGTGTATAAAGGCCATTTGAACAGCTCCGGCAGGTACAGTTAAACAGCTGGTGCAGGGAAAGGTTGCAGTCTCTCACCTGTGTGTGTGAGTCTGAGCATTGATGGCAGTCGCTGGAGGGAAGCGCTGAACCCTGAAGAGCAGGGTCCGAGCCAGATTCACTCTCTCCCTAGCCCGGCTGCGCAGGATAGGGTGCCGTTCTCCTTCCCCCTCGGGGCCCGCAGTCAAGCCTGGCTACACACACTGATTAGAATTAATGCAGACCCCTGATTTAATATAGAGGAGAGATTTGGCTTCTAATTATTCTCTCACTAGACGATTCAGTTCAATGGTTGTAGGTTGTTTCGGATTGTTCTCGCTTAGGTTTTTCTCAGTTACTGTTTTTCTGCCTTGTGGACAGCTGTACAAATGAAGTCTTTTAAATGGTGTACACCTACAAATCTTTCATTTGTGGGTGTTTAATCTACTACTGTGGTCGTTTTTGGACACGATGCTGACAATAACATGTTGTTATGCATGTTTACCGTGGAGCATTTACAGTTAAAAAACGGTTGCATCTTTGAAGTTCCATACACGTAGTAAAAATGTTTGTCATTTAGTAACAAAGTATTTATTAAAACTTGAATAATCACTTCTTTTAAATATACATTGTAATTTACATAATAACATAATAACAATATACCTGTTTTTTTTTTTTTTTTAAATTATGAATCGGATAATTGAAATGAACAATTTGACTTTAATTTAGGGTACTTTCTCAATTGCCTGGACCACACCCAAGTTTGATTGTCCCCCCTTGCCACCTTCTCAACTAGTTTGTTTTCTCACTGCCTTTTCTCCTTCTGAACCCCGGTACACTTGTGTCATTGAGCTGCCTTTGTGTAAACAACTTTTGCTAGGTGATCGACATGAAAGCAAAGCGCCAAAATGGAAAGACGTACGCACATCGCGGTCGTTTTGCTTTTACTAAATCTTTTGGTTTTGGACATACAGAAAGTATGACTCACATCCATCTGTCTCAATTTTTTATATACCTTCAAAATATAACGCGATGTCTGCAGAAGCTGTTTTTGTAGGAGACAAGCGGACATTATCACTGTGATTGCCCTGGCTCTGTCCCGCTTGTCACCAAGGTACAGTACGTGATACACAGACACACACAAAAATGAACGTTATGAAAATGATAGTTTGTTGTACAGTTGCCGGTTTACTTTCGCGTATTTGGTACAATTGCACTTATATCAGAAGTAAACCATACCAGAGATTGCGTGAACCGTAACCCAGACCGCCTCTTTCAGGCAAACTCGTGTACAGTTTGTGCGCACCCGAGTTCAGAAGACACATTCACACTAGCTTAGCGTACAGTACTCTGATGTCAAACGAACCTGTGTGCAGACCAAAAGTATTAGTGTGAAAGCACCCTTAAAGGCACAATATTTAATTTTTGCCATAAAAGGGTGTAAACTCACAACAAACAATACAGTTTTTTGATGGTGCTTTGACTAAGGCCCAATTCTACTCCTTAACCCTTCCCCTTACCCCTTATTAGGGGTGTCGCAATTCTCTTTAGCTTAAAGGCATAGGGCTAAGGGGAAGGGCTAGATAGATACCCCTTCAAACTGAGATTTTCAGGACCTCACTCAAAACTAAGGGGTAAGAAAATATCCCAAAATACACCATTTACAATGACAGCATGGCTACACGCAGGTCAGAAGATGCACAAATTATTATTTTTTTTGTCATTATTACAAATCTTTACATCAAACAAGCACATGTTTTACTACATTCATAACTGTGTTTGTGTTTTACAGTCATGCTTTAAAAAAAAAAACGCTAAAATAAAACCCATTAAATTTCGCTATCTATAATCCTTAATAATAACTCCTGTATAGCAGTCCCACAACATTCTGTCACTCGATGACACTCGAATCCCCTGTCAGAAAAGTCTAGCAGAACACTAGGGAATGAGCTTTTTACAGTGTCTGCTATATTGTTAATGTTGTTTTTTGTGTGTTTAAATGAAAATGGCCATGGTGTAAATGCACAGTACAGTTACAATCTTATTGCCGCATTATATTGTTATGATAACATAATATGCTTTCAGTGATTTCCTGAATATAAATACCAAAAAGTAACACAACTGGAATAACTACAGCAGTTGCTATAATCGATCGCATATGAAGCAAGAGATTGTGATGACATATGATGATGTGTGCTGGTGTTGTAGTGCTGACCCATTTTTTAGGGGTATAATTTTGATCCCATTACTCATACACACTCTGTTTCAAGAGCCAAGGGGAAGAGGTAGGGGTACAAAAATTGAATTGAGATTAGGCCCAAGTGTGGAATTAAGGGAGTTGTTATGTACATTGCATTCTATAGGACAGAAGAATTCAGCAGAAATTATGTTCATGCATGAGCTGAGATATTCAAATCATGCTAATGATTACATTTTTGCCACTGTTATTTTGTTTAAATATGTCATCAAAATGCATAGTAACGCATTTATTTTGATGGTCTATCAGGAGACAGTCTTAGCAACTTTGCATAAATTTGTCATCTTCTTTTAATCCTATCTTAACATGTGCAGATGGTGCAGTTTTTGTTTGTTGTAAAAATATTTAATTTTTTTTTTGCTCTATTTGTATTTGCTTTAATAGAAGATAAAAATGCCCTTTATTGCACTATTGCTTATCTTTGCAAAAGTTTTTACTAAAATTAAGATTTTTTTTAATGAATTTTTACTATAGATATGTTTTAAGTTGACTAAAATACAAACTAAAATAGAAAAAAAAGTGACGCTAAACAGAAAACCTCCTCTACATATTAAGTGACTACTTGTGTGCTATTGAGGTGGGGAACGGGTAAGGTTAAGGTTTGGTTGAATGAATAGTTTTTAAGGTAGGTTAAGGTAATGGGTCAACAGTGTAATTGTAAATTAATTTTATATGTAATTACATACAGATTACTTTTAAAATATAAGTACAATGTGACAACATGTAAACAATTATTGCATTGTACCAAATGATTCATTTAAATGGAAGCACATAGTACTTTAGGCCACTTAATATAAAGTGGGCCAGAGAACTGGAAATAATAGCGTATGGGGAATTGGAATTTGAATAATATCTAGTCAAAAAATCTGTTTTAAATTGCATGATGACCTCAATAATAAATTTTGAATCAAATCTTGAGAAACCAAGTGCAATGACTGGGATGATAAATCCCAATTATATATTTCAATGTTTGACATTGTGAATGTTTCAGGTCATTATATCGTGAGCTTCTCAACATTCAGTGGATCAAAGTATACTTAATCTTGTTACAGGAAACTAGACAGTTTAATATATGCACCACATTTCCGCATCTTCATAATTCAGCTCAAAAACACAATGAGGGATAGTTTTAGGGACACTGGATGTTATGCAGGAGGACGATCTTGTCTCATTGCTCCATGAGAGCTGTGCAGGGGATCATGGGGGATCTCCCAGGTGTTGTGGTTCTGTAATGGCCTCAGCGTGTGGCT